ATTTTGGTCACTTTATTCCACTTCATGGATGTTTCTTTCTGTTCCTATACCACACTGCTTTATACACTATAGCTTTATAATATAATTTGATACATATTTGGCAGATTTCCCTTTTTCTTTTTCTAAAAGAAAAAATTGAAGGAAAATAAACAAACTTCCAGGAAATTTTGAAATGTTAACTATATCCACAATTAAGAAAAATAACAGAACTTACATAGTAGTTAGGTATTAATAACATTGAAAATAAACTATATATGTAAAAACCTGTGATATAGCTAAAGTTAAATCCAGAGGACAACTCACAGTTGGAAATGCTTATTAAACAATGACACAATAAATTCTATAAGCATTCAATTTGTGAAACATTAAACCAAAAGATATTAAATATAAAATAGTAATTTATGGCTGGGTGTGGTGGCTCACACCTGTAATCCCAGCACTTTGGGAGGCCAGGGTGAGCAGATCATCTGAAGTCAGGAGTTTGAGACCAGCCTGATCAGCATGGTGAAACCCCATCTCTACTAAAAGTGCAAACAGTAGCTGGGCGTGGTGGCACGTGCATGTAGTCCCAGCTACTTGGGAGGCTGAGGTAGGGGAAACACTTGAATCTTGGAGGCGGAGATTGCGGTGAGCTGAGATTGCACCACTGCACTCCAGCCTTGGCAACAAGAGCAAAACTCCATCTCAGGAAAAAAAATAGTAATTTATAAATAAAAGAAAAAAAAGTGTATCTATAATAAAATAAGTAACACCCACCCCCCAAAAAAAGATAATTCTTGAAAGACATGAACTATAAACAAAATTTGGTTACTGTGACCTCAAGGAAAAAGAGAAACATGAATACAAAATATTTAAGAAAGGAATATAACTCAAAAATGAGTATTTGAAAAATTATGAAGGAATCTATGTGAGAATGAATGCCAACAAATTTGAAAACTTAAATGAAAATGCATAAATTACCTCAGAATTAGGATAGCTGGTGTCGTAACCATCGTAGAAAGTGGAGACGTTATATGCGACCCTTGCACGGTCCAGTCCAGGTTCTCCAAATACAGACAGAACCTGGCTGCACCTACCGTTTACATGCTGAATTTCATCCTTTTGATCATTATTTCCATACAGAAGAATATGGCAGACCTCAAAGGCATCATGGGTCTGGTTGCAGGCCACAAGAAAGCAAATATCACAACAAAACGAGTCACATTTTTTGATTTCCAAGTGCATCCAAAAGTTGTGTTTCCACTATATTGTACTTATTAAGTGTGCAACAGACATGTCTAAAAAACCAATGTGTACATTTAAACAATACTTGATTGCTAAAGTATGCCAATGGCCATCTGAGCCTTCAGCAAGTTGTACTCTTTCTCCTGGTGGAAGGTCTTGCCTAGATTTGGATGGCTGCTGACTGATCAGGGTGGTGGTTGATTAAGGTTGGAGTGGCTGTGGGAATTTTTAAAAATAAGACAACAATGAAGTTTGCCACATCAATCCACTCTTCCTTTTACCAAAGATTTCTCTGCAGCATGTGATAGCATTTTACCTACACAGAACTTCTTTCAACATTGGAGACAATCCTCTCAAGTCCAACCACTGCTTTATCAACTGTGTTTATGGAATATTCTAAATCCTTCATTGTCATTTCAACAATGTCCACAGCATCTTCACCACGAGAGGATCTCGTCTCAGGAAACCACTTTCCTTGCTCGTCCATAAGCAAAGATGATGGATGGATGAATCTTGCCACTAGATGGCTAGATGAACGAGCATCTCCTCATCCATTAAAGCTGGATCTTAAGATTACAGCAGTTCACTCACATCTTCCAGCACCACTTCTAATTCTGCTTCTCTTACTGGTCTACCACATCAGCAGTTCCTTCCTCCACTGATGTCCCGACCCCTCAAACGCATCCATGAGGATTGGAATCATCTTCTTCCAAACTCCCGTTAATGCTGATGTTTTTACCTCCTCCCATGAATCATGTTCATAATGGCATCTAGAATGGTGAATCCTTTCACAAGGTTTTCAGTTGACTTTTCCAAGGTCCATCAGAGGAATCACTGTTTATGGCAGCAATAGCCTTACAAACTGTATTTCCTAAATAATAAGACGTGAAGCTGAAATTACTCCTTGACCCTGTGGAACGGATGTTGTGTAGCAGGCAGGAAAACATTCATCTCCTCGTACATCTCCATCAGAGCTCTTGGGCACCCAGGTACACTATCAATGAGCAGTTATATTTTGAAAAGAACCTTTTTTTCTGAGCAATCGATCTCTAGGGTGGTTAAAATATTCAGTAAACCAGGCTGTAAGCAGATGTATTATCATCCAGGCTTTGTTGCTGCATTTATAGAGCACAGAGTAGATTTAGCATAACTCTTCAGCACCCTAGGGTTTTCAGAATGCTCAGTGAGCACTGGCTTCAACTTAACATCACCAGCAGCATTAATTAGCCCCTAGCAAGACAATCAACCTCTCCTTTGAAGCTAGGCACTGACTTCTCCTCTCTAGCTATGAAAGTCCTAGATGGCATCTTCTTCCCATACAAGGCCCTTTGGTCTACAGTGAAAATCTGTTGTTAATGCTGCCAGCTGCATCAGCGATCTCAGCCAGGTCTTCTGGATACTTGCTGCAGCTTCTCCGTCAGCATGTGCTGCTTCACCGTGCACTTCTATGTTATAGAGACGGCTTCTTGCCTTTAACCTCAGGAATCAACCTCTACCAGCTTCAAACTTTTCATCTGCAGCTTCCTCACCTCTCTCAGCCTTCACAGAATTGAAGGTAGGGCCTTGCTCTGGATTAGGCTTCAGCTTAAGTGAATGTTGTGCTGGTTTGATCTTCCATCCAGACCACTACAACTTTGCCATATCAGCAATCAGGCTGTTTGCTTTCCTATTCTTTGTGTGCTCACTGGAGTAGCGCTGTTAGTCTCCAATTTCCTTCCAGAGCTTCTCCTTTGCATTCACGACATGACCAACTGTCCGGCAGAAGAGGCCGAGCTTTCCACCTGTGTCGGCTTTCAACATGTCTTCCTCACCAAGCTTACTCATGTCTAGCTTTTGATTCAGAGTGGCAGACATGGGACTGTACCTTTCACTTGAACACTTAAGAGACCATTGTAAGGTTCAAGACTGCTGTGTGTCTGGGAATAGGAAGGGCCGAGAAGAGGGAGAGAGACGGGAATGGTCACGCAGTGGGGCGCTCTGAACACGCGCATCGTTTGTGGATTGAGGCTGCTGCCTGCACACACCTCAGCTGCACCACACGTCTTCCACGGGTGCCTCGTAATGCGATCCGAGCATGCCTGTGGCTATTTCATAAAAGTGCTCCCTTCCTTCAACAAGGCTGTGTCCTTCTGTCCCACATTTTAATGTCTGGAGGCACATTTTTACAGAGGGACTTGAGAATCATGATGCCATGAACACTGCAGTTGACAACCTGCAGGCAAGGAAGGCAAGAAGATTCCTCTCTGCAGTCAGGCTTGCCCATGCAGCAGGACCTGAGGTGGCCAGCCCTTCTAACCAAGGACAGCTGTGCCCTCGCTGCAGCCACCACACTTGCTGGTAAGGTGTCCTCACAGATGGAGCCAGGTGGTCTGCTTGAGCTGCCCAGGACGCTACGGATACAGCATCACTAATATTTGCAAGCGTGACAGGGAAGAGTGGTTTGCATTTTCTGGATAGACACGGCCATCCCAGAGCGTGGTGCAGTTGCCCACACTGTAGGCTCTTCTTTCTACACAACCCCATTGTGGAGTCCCCAAGTCATCCATGCTTGGCTGATGCTGGGTTTTGGGACCCCAGCTCCCTAACGAGCCTGGCTGTGTGTCCACCATGATGGGGAATGAGTCCCATGCAGCTCATCCGAGGCCTTGCCCCATCCCAGCTCCCACCCTCCAGACCCAAGGCACCCCCCAGCACTGCACCCCCTGAAAGCCCTCCACAGTCCATAAATCTGACCCAAGTCTTGGTGACTGCTACACTCCAATGCAGTCTTAATCCCTAAAATCGAGGGGGGTATGTTCTAAAGTGGTTTCTACCAAGGATTAATCCCTGGAGCAATGCTGGCTCCAATAAAATAAAAGCCAGCTGCATGGTCAATAACCTTGGGAAATTTCTCTTGGTGATACACAATACACCATTGTGGGAAGTAGAGAAGTTTCTTTTTAAAGTTTCCTTTCTTGTTAAGGAGTAAGTGTACTAATATTCGTGAAGCCCTATCCTATATAGCTGTTAGACGTACCATGCTTACAGGCATGTAGTACATTCTACGTCCTTGTACTGTCACCAAGATACTTGTGCTGGACGTGTCCACAGGCATGTCCCAGCTCTCCAATGCTTTTACTTGTTTAGAAAAGTTTTAAGTTGTTAGCCGATCGGGTTTTAGTTTACATTGTAAAATCTGGCTCCAGCCAATGGAGATCAGACACAACAGTAAGGATGACCCCAAATGCTAAGGGATAAATTTGTGTGTTTTCCTTTGTTCACTGTACTCTCACGGCAAGATGGCTAGTGAAAGTACCCTTCCTGCGGTCCAGGAAGTAAAAACTGCGTTGCTAAAAGATCCTGTGTCTCAGTGCTGATTTTCCTTTGCAGCATCAAGCATCTATTTCCAACAACCATAAATTTTAGAAAACCTTGCAGTAGAAAAACCTGCTTCAAATTTCTGATTTTATGAATTTTAAAACTAAAATTACATTGAATTTCTGGCCTTTGCCATGGATTCAATTCTGCATGGCCAGGATTCCTGATGGCCCCTTGAAAGGAAATCCATACCTAAAGGAGTCAGATGTGGATTAAGGTAACTAAAGCACTGAGCCTGCGACCTGAGTGGTGGCACTACCTTTGCTTCTACACCAAAAGTCGCACAGTCTAACTTCTTGGTTTCACTGATTAAATAATTCCTATGCTGTACCACATTAAATCGAATCCTATCAACCCTCAACCCCCAAACCAGCAAGTAAACTGTCCCTCCATAAACTATTCAAGAAATAACAAATGCATCTGAAAGATAAGTGCTTTTAATTTTCTAAATTTTCACTTATGCAACATAAAGGCAGATTTATGTGACCTGATAATGACATTTTTACAAAAAACAATCCCCCCCCCCCACCAACATCTTGGTCAGTAGTATATAAATATTTACAATGAAAAAATAGGCAAGGAGAAAGGAAATCTTCATTATCCATGTCGATTTCTTTCCAATGCTTATCAGGAATTTTGAAAATAAAATACTCCATTAACTTTTTCTCATCATTCCTATTTACGCGCTGCTTCAGCTGATGATTCATGGTATTTGGGTTGCACTGTATGAGAGTATTTTTGTTCTGTATCACTCCTTTTTCTATACTATTTTAAAAATCTGAAATAGTAAATTAAATATAAAAATGTAAACTCTGAAAGGAGAGAAAATAAGAATAAATATGTGTAAAGGTAATGCATTAAGATACAAAGGGTCTCACAGAGGTTACTATTTTACAACACTAAAAAAAAATAAAATGCTCTATATATTTTCTTTGTTGGGACATTCTGTTTCAATTTAATTTTTGGTTATGTTAACAAAAATTACCTCTAAAGAGGATGTTAAAAAAATAGCAATGACGTTACCATCTTAACTAATGAATATCCCATCACCCTAATTTTTTCTAAAAGAAATTGATTTTAAGTGACAAATATAAATTATAACATAGAAAGCTTAAGAAGCCTCAGCAAATTATGGTATCTTTTAGCAATGAAGACTTTCAGAGACAAATGTGAACAGCGCAGCCAGCCGCCTAACTTAGTGATTGACAGACGCGTTCCACTCCGACGTGGGAAACACCACGTGGATTCTCCCACACGCTGCTCCGCTGAAACATGGCACACTGGTGGGCGGAAGGGCAGGACATCTGCAGCATGCAGTTCCTGGAGGACGCCAATGGGAATCGTGTGTCTGGCAGTGCAACGACGTCATCTGCAGGTCCCTGGGAGGACCGCGAGCTTCACGTGTGGGAGCTGCGCCGCCCCCTGGTACCCAGAGACACACGGAGCCTGGGCTCCCGGGCTTTGTAATGCTCATTAAAGTCCAGCCTGAAGCTAAGAAACCGAAGGCTCTCGTCAGAGCTGGTCGTCAGTAACACCAAAAACTGCTGCACGATTCCCTAAAAAGAGGAAAGGGAGTAAAATATTATTTCAGAAAAGAGCGACCCACAAATGTATTTCCCACACCCTTAATCCCCTTTGAGAGGGGTGTTTTTCCTTCCAGATCCACAGGCTCTTGGTAAATGCCGGCCATGGGAGGCATCCAGGGAACAGAGCTGCTGGGACCCTGGAGTCCACACGGCCAGTGCACCTGCATTAGGAACGGGAGCCCTTTTATAAGGACAAATTAGCAAACGATGCATTTTATTTGAAAGCAGCTAACCAATAGGTTTTTTCACTTTGTTCTTAAGTTCCACAAGAATAAGCAAAACAGGAATTCCCAGATGTTGGAACATTGTATTCTTTTTATTTTGAATCCAAACTCAGTGGCACACACTTCATCTTTCACAGGACTCAGGAGGCCTATGTAGTCCTAGCGCCCGCACTGGAGAGCAAACCGAGAGCATTGAGAGGGTCTTTGGGTCTAGCTGCTGGACTTGAGGCTGCAGCTGGCCTCTTCACGGGCGTGGGCGTCACTACCATCTCGTTATCGAGGGGCCTTTGTAAAGATGTGCCAGCCCCCAAACTCTGCTAAGACAAAAGGACTGACTGCTTCTATTTCAGGCTGAAAGACTTGCTTACTGAGTACAGGTCCATCCCTGCCCAGTGCTGGAGTCTACTTCATGCCACGGGACACAGATCCGTTCATGGGAGCTGCCGGCCGGGAAAGATACCATGGGACTGCAGAGAACATGGTCACTGAGGCTCCATGTCCTCACCAAGCCCCTCCCAAGTCTTCACCAGCTATTGCTGCCCCTTCCCAGTTTCTGGTCAGAAACGAATGCAGAAGCTCCCAAGTAGGCCTGGAAGAACCGGTCTGGATATAGGCTCTGGTAACTTCACCTCTGAGCAGGCAAACGCTGTGTGTGTGCACGTGTATGTGTGTGTGTGTGCACGTGTGCGTGTGTGTGCGCGTGGGACATCACTGCCTTTTTAGGTAAGGGGAGAAGAAAGCACCTAAGAAGTTACATTGCCAAAAATACAATGACTTCCTATTTTGTGATAAAATTGAAATACAACCATCTGTGAAACTGACTAAAAGGAAACCTAAGACTATTTCTTCCACAGGTTTGACACTGGATGCTCTTTCCCATCAATGTCGAGAAGCTGTTAACACCCTGCTGTCTCCAGCACTGCCACAGAGAGCAGAGACGGACTCCTGCTGTCACAGAAAAGAAACTTCTTTGTAAATCATGACCATTCAGATTTAAGACTGTAATTTGAGTAAAATTAGGATTACAGTGATTAAGATTACTTTTTGAAAAAGTATTAACTCCCTCAGGGAAATGTGTAACCATAAACATCATATTCTCTCTCAGAAATAAGCATGCAGACAAATCTTTAAAATAACCCATTGCTCCTTTGTAGCTGTATGACTGTCTGATTTTAGAGAGTTGTATGGACCTAGCCATTAGGCCCATTCTATTAGAAACGAGAATACATACTGTACAAATAACAGGAGTTCAAGAAGGCATTGTGTCGAAACCCCATCCAACAGGGGTGCCTGTGCACGGAACATGACCAGCCAGTCACTACCCCCTTTTATAAAACTGCAAGAATGCAAAAGTAGGCCAAGGTCAGAGTAAGACCACTTGTAAAAGGGGCAACGTTCCTCCTTAGTTATCTTGAAGAGAAATAAGTATTTAAAAACTATGAGGGCTGGGTATGTAATCCCAGCACTTTGGGAGGCCAAGATGGGCGGATCACTTGAGGTCAGGAGCTGGAAACCAGCCTGGTCAACATGGTTAAAACCCCGTCTCTACTAAAAATAAAATAATTAGCCAGGCGTGGTGATGCACATCTGTAATCCCAGCTACTGGGGAGGCTGAGGCAGGAGGATCGTTTGAACCCAGAAGGCAGAGGCTGCAGTGAGCCAAGATCACACCACTGCACTCCAGCCTGGGTGATAGACAGAGAGTCTCAAGAGGAAAAAAAGTGTGAGGACCTGGGAAACAAACTAGGTGCCCACAGAACAGAGCAAGTGAGGTCTCACTTTTAATTCTGAATCACACGAAGGCACCAGCACACAAACCCACATTGTTGGAGGTCTGGAGGCTTGATGCTCCACAATTAGTGAGCAGAGATGGAACAGAAATATTTTCCATGAAATCTTTTCATCTCTACCTCTCTCACTAAGATCACATTGAGAAATGGAGGAAATGGGAAATGGGACCCACACATGGAGGCAAAAGCAGAGTTCAGACGTGCCCAGCCTTCCGGGGTCTACACCATGTCTGCTGGCTAGCCAGCCCCTCTCACCGAGGCTGGACAGCTGCCTCAGGGACAGTCCCCATTGGGAGTCACTGGGAGGCCCAAGTGAAGGCAGCAGAGATGCCTGCAGGTCCCTGCAGTCCCACCACGGGGGATATAGGGGCCACTCCTTGGCCAGGTTTCTCACTGGCGGCACATTGGCACTGCCCAGAGCCCAGGCATACCTGAGTCCCCCAGAGGGTCACAGGGTCCACTGTGGGTGCTACTCACACCTACACAAATCAGTGGCAGACCAGCAGGACTGACTCAGCTCTCATCACGGTGAAAGCAATGTCAGGCACAGAACATGGGCAGAGTGGTGTGAAAAGCAACTCTCCATCCTGATACACACCTGGTAGAAATGTGTCAATATTCGCAACTGTGAGCACATTTTTGGTATAGATTCTTTAAATTCTCCAATCCTCTTATTTTCCTCCTCTTCCTCCGCCGCCGTCACTCCCCACTGGCCCTGAAGAATCAAAAGTGCCAAATGTAAGTAAAACCATGATGGAAAACGGATTATGGAGTGAGGCTGAAACAGGAATGTGAGGAGGGGGAGATGCCTGCTTTTTATGCCCCTCTGTACCCTTCAACGCTTTTCAATGCCTTTCTGATGCCAGACTCGCTCTAGCTTACTTTTTTCAATTAACAATGTATCTTGAGAATTTCATATGAATACCTCTGGGCACACAGAGAACTGTCTCTGTTTTTTTTTTTTTTTTGAGACAGTTTCATTCGGTCGCCCAGGCTGGAGTGCAGTGACGCGACATCAACTCACTGCAACTTCTGCCTCCCGGGTTCAAGCGATTCTCCTGCCTCAGCCTCCTGAGTGGCTGAGATTACAGGCACGCACCACCACGCCCAGCTAAATTTTGTATCTTTAGTAGAGAGAGGGTTTCATCATGTTGGTCAGGCTAGTCTCGAACACCTGACCTTGTGATAGGCCCGCCTCCACCTCCCAAAGTGCTGGGAATACAGGAGTGAGCCACTGTGCCCAGCCCTCTGTTGTTCTTAATATCACATTGTATAACACGTAACAATGTCTATAATTCATCTCAAGCTGACACTTTTCAGTGTGATAAACAGCCTTTATCCTTCTCTCTGGTGTACACATTTTTAGACAACAAAGACAGTATGTGTGAAGTGGAATCAGCTCGCTCAAAGTGTCCGCACCCTTTAAACTATTATCTTGACTTTAGTGAGAATGCTTCTAGTTCCCTAAGCATGGTCTATTTTTTGGTACTGGAGATAAACCCATTTATTTCTGTTTTTAAGATTATTTTCAATCAATGATGAATTTGACTAAATGTCTTCTCAGCCTATATAGGAATTTTTTTTTTTTTTTTTTTTGAGATGGAGTTTCACTCTTGTTGCCCAGGCTGAAGTGCACTGGCGTGACTTCAGCTCACTGCAACCTCTGCCTCCCAGGTTCAAGCGATTCTCCTGCCTCAGCCTCCCAAGTAGCTTGGGATTACAGGCATGAGCCACCACGCCTGGCTAATTTTGTATTTTTAGTAGAGACGAGGTTTCACCATGTTGGCCAAGCTGGTCTCAAACTCCGGACCTCAGGTGATCCGCCAGCGTTGGCCTCCCAAAGTGCTGGCACTACACTGTCCTGTGGGCTGCTTCTGGACCTTACCCTGTTCCACTTACTTGTCTTTCCTTGAGCCAACTACTGTGAGCTTACTCTAGTACGAATTCACATTCCGTCAGCAGTGTGAGGGTTCCTTTTCCCCACATCATCGCCAGCGTTTGTTCGTGCCCGCCTTTTGGATAAAAGCCATTTTAGCTGAGGTGAGATGACATCTCATTGTAGTTTTGATCTGCGTTTCTCTGATGATCAATGATGCAGGGCACCTACTCATACGCCTGCTTGCCATTTCTATGTCTTCTTTTGAGAAATGTCGATTCAGATCTTTTGTCCATTTTTTAACCAAATAACAAGATTTTTTTTCTGTTGAGCTGTTGGAGCTCCCTATACATTGTGGTTATCAATTCCTCATCAATGGGTAGTTTGCAGATACATTCTCCCATTCTCTGGGCTGCCTCTTCACTTTGTAGACTGTTTCCTCGGGGTGCGGAAGCTTTTCAACATGATGTGACCCCCATTTGCTTTGGCTACAGCTGCTTGTCAAGTATTATTCAAGACATCTTTGCCCAGACCAAGGTCCGAGAGTGTCCCCCAGTGTTTTCCTGTAGTAGTCCCATAATGTGAGGTCTTAGATCTAAGTCTTTAATCCATTTTTATTTGATTTTTGTACATGGCAAGAGACAGGGATCTAGTTTCATTCTACACAACCGACTTTTGCAACAACAACAAAATGCCAGCTTTCTTTCCTAGCCTCTTCTTCCCCTCGGCTCACAGCCCTGGCTGGCCCATCGGTGCAGAAGCGTGTGTGTCTTGCTCTGTCTCAGGGATATGCTTCCAATATTTCACCCCCAAGTACCATGTTTTGTTATAAGATTATTCATGCAAACCTTTTTATAGGTTTTACTTGGTATTAAATGATCTTTGCCATCTATTGAGATGATCATATAATTTTTCCCCTTTAGTTTATAAACATGAATTACAGTATTTGTATTAAAATGATAAAAAGAGATATTCTTGTATTCTTGGAATGAGCTGAAACTTATTTGTAACACATTATCACTCCGATCTATCAGTGTGGTAATACTGTGGAATTCTCCATCCATGTTTACGAGGGAGACAAGGACAGAGAGCAACAAAAGCTAAACTACCTAAATGCTTTGTTCCGGCATCAGGTTACTATTTTAGAGAACTACGTTCAATTCTGTTTTATAAGTAAATCGATCCCTAAAAATTAAAAGCCAAAATGAAACCGGTTAATCTAATTGTGCACTGAGTTGATGGAACAGCCTTAAAGGAGCAATTATTTCAAAGGACATTACCACATGGAATTTGAATGCATCTATTTAGTAGAAAAAATCTTGGCAAAAAATTTAAAAAATATATTAGAATAATAGAAAAAGTATTTTTCTTTTCTCCCTCAAAAACAATTGCAAAAAAAGTAAACTATTTTCAAAACTATATTGTTCCCATATCAGCGGCAGGACTCTCACTTGGAGACAGTCACACGGATGGGTGCGTGCACGGACGCATCATCATAAGACCACAAATAATTCAGTATGATGCTGTCAGAAACCAAGGTTTTCAACACTTAAGATACATTTTTAGGGCCGGGTGCGGTGGCTCACGCCTATAATCCCAGCACTTTGGGAGGCTGAGGTGGGTGGATCACGAGGTCAAGAGATCGAGACCATACTGGTCAACATGGTGAAACCCCGTCTCTACTAAAAATACAAAAAAAATTAGCTGGGCGTGGTGGCGCATGCCTGTAATCCCAACTACTCGGGAGGCTGAGGCAGGAGAATTGCTTGAACCCAGGAGGTGGAGGTTGCGGTGAGCCGAGATCGTGCCATTGCACTCCAGCCTGGGTAACAAGAGCGAAACTCCGTCTCCAAAAAAAAAAAAAGAAATACATTTTTAAAAATGAATGAAGTAAGTCTGTTAACCCTACATCTGAATTGGAAATATCACTCAAAATGCAGGGGTGCGAGAAGAAAGGTGGAAAGAAACAGAGGAGCCATGAGGAGAAGGACCCTCTGGGGCCCTCCACTCAACAGCAGCCTGAGAATATGGCAGCACGGGTGCAGCAGGCAGGCGCCGCTTGGGTCCCAGCACGCAGCCGGGGCTCTGTCATCTTTCCAGGGGGTGCCTGGCATGATCTCTTCAGAACTTGCCGTGGACCTCAGGTCTAAATGACTGCTTTGAAGATTATCTTGCCTTTTGAATTTAAATAACTTCTCGGATGTGGCTTTTGCTTGTGTGTCTCTTCCTGCCTCCTTAAGCAAATCTAAATACAATACCCTGAACCAACCTGGACTTGGCCTGTGCACCCATCCCACTTGGGAAACTGTCCGAGAGAACCTTCCACTCCGCATGGAAGGCTGACAGGCTGTTAGCACAGGGTTAAAATCCTAAGGATTGATTTTGGTCAACTTTTAGATAACTTAGTAATTCTCTAGAAGGGAAGCTTCTCTGGGGCATGTGGCAGTCACACATGGCAGTGGCCAGCATGCACTGAATGCCTACTAGATAAGCGACAGATATCATCACACATAAATGACTCTGTGAGGTCATACTCCTTACCACCCATTTTACAAATAAGGAAACTACATCTTGGAGAGGAGAGCCACCCAAAGCACAAAGCCAGTAAGTTATAGAGTTAGGGTAGAATCCTGAGTACGTCTGACTTTAAGTTATCCATAGGGTTGCCTGGACCAGCCCTAGGATATTCTGTGTACCAACTCTACAACACTTCAGAATTACCAAAATCTTCTTTGAATAATGAGACCCCTTAGCGACACAAATGTTTCCAAACTACTCCAAAGAAATAACTTGTGCTCCCAGTGGCTGGGGCCTCTCCAAGCTACATAGGCCCTCTAACACAGGTTTTAGGGGAAACAATACTCAAAAGTAAAACTAACCAACCAAACTGTATTGACTGAATAACATCTTCGACAATCCCAAAAGTAAGTACAGCTATAGGATATTAATGACAGACACATGCTGAGAAATGCATCATTAGGTGATTTGCTCCCTGTGTGGACATCACCAAGTGCCCTCACACAAACCTCAGTGGTGCAGCCTACACACACGGTGACTTCAGGGCACTGCCTATGCTCCTAGGCTGCAAACCTGGGCAGCGTGTGGCTGTACTAAATGCTGTAGGCAACTGTGACACAACGGTAAGTATTTGTGCAGCTAAGGTATCTAAACACAGAAAAGGCACAATGAAAATACGGCACTATAATTTTACAGGGCCACCGTCATATATGTAGTCCGTCATTGACCAAAACGTTATGTGGCACATGACTGCATCTTGAAAAAGTAAAAGATTACACAGATTGTAGTAAATAGAAGAAATCTCATAAACAGCCAAACTTGCTTAATAAATCATCCCACAAGGTCCTGAAAATAGCCTTAGGTACAGCAATTTGGTTCATATGCACATATATGTGCACACATACATGCATGCACCTGTAAACACACATATATGCAATGTACACACACACATATACACACATACATAAACACCTATATATATTATATATACACATATACTTGCATTACAGGTATATAAACATACATGTAGTCTCCAACTGAAGATGGTTTGACATGACTTTTTTACTTTAACAATGGGTTTATCAGGGTACAAGTTGAGTATCCTTTATCTGAAATGCTTGGGACCAGAAGTATTCTGAATTTCAGCTTTTGCAGTATTTGCATATACAGAATGAACTATCTTGGAGAGGGGACGCAAGTCTAAATATGAAATTCATTTATGCTTCATACATACCTTAAACACATAGCCTGAAGGTAATTTTATATATTTTTTATAATTTTCTGCAGGAAACAAAGTTTGGTGTACAGTAAGCCATCAGGAAGCAAAGGGATCAGGCGTGGAATTTTCCACTTGTGACAGCATGTCAGTGATGAAAAAGTCTGGGGTTTAGGAGCACTCTGTAGTTCGTACTTCAGATGAGGGGTGCTCCACCTATATTAAACACGCTTTCAATGTGGATTGAGCTGACTGGGACACAAGCCTACTGTGAGTTAAGGAGCGGCTGCAGATGCGCAAATTTGCAAAATGCAGTGTGGTGCATGATCCGCGAGCTTCCAACACCACAGCGATGCAGCGTGGAGGCAGCTGTGGAGGCTCCGACAGGTGGTGTTGGCGCTGTGGCACTTAGTGATGAACACGGGTGTGAGGCCGATGCTCGTGAATGGGCTGCTTTTGTTTGTTTTTTGAAACAGGATGATGATGATGGTGAGGGTGACCCCTCCCTCTTTAAACCCATCCGTACTTTCTCAGGACTTCAAAAGCAGCATAGGCACCTCTCAACCTGGCTGACCATTCTGGCAAGAAAGTTACGTGTTGGCATGTGTGATTATCGTGTGTGGCAAGGAGCTCATTATTCAAATAGAGAAATTCACAAGTGTAAATACCATACCTCAATTTCACGCTGTTTCTTTTTCTCTTCAAACTGTAATCGTCTCTGCAGTTCTTCCAGAGCAGCTCTGTATATGGCATCTTGAGCATTCTGAAGTTCAATAATTTGATCAAACACAGCTCTAAGCTGATTTAAAAGTGCCTGAAGAGAGATGACCATGTTTTATGAATAAAGCCTCAACAGGCTTATTTTCTTAAAAAAACACTGATAATTAATGAAAAGACACTATAAAACAAGATATCAACTAAAATTCTCAAAGTGTTCATTAGCTGCTCGTTCATTCCCTCACCACACACTTCCCGAACCCTCCTGCTGAGCAGCGCCATGCTGGGCACCAGCAAAACGTGACCATCCTGCACCCGCACGCGCCATAACAAGAGCAAGTACGACTGCCCGGGTCCCACGGTGGGCCAGAGGCTCTCCGGAACTCATCTCCATTCCTCACAAGCTTAAAACTAAAGTTCTGCCCTGCATTTCAAAGCTGGACAGCAGGTGGTTACAAGGAGAACTATTTCAAGACTTAGAAAAGCATAGGAAAGTATCTCCAGTTGTTTTAGATACAGTAAAAACAGTTAATGAAAATTATGAGAAAGGAAATACTTAGTAAAATATAAAAAAGGAAATTCAGCAAGGTTTTTAAAACGTGTATCCCATTTTATACCAGGAATAAAAGGATGCCTTAACATCAGGAAAAACTCCTAATGCTTTAAACATACATCAATGTCACAGCAGTCATCTCCCGTTCTTTGCTTGTAACTGCACAGTAATCTTCAGTATACAACTACTGTACTTGGTTAATCTTTCTCCTAGTGTGGCATGAAAGGACACAATGAAATCTACAGAACAAAATCATTTATGTAAATTAAAAATGTATACACAGAAAATACCATCTATATACCCAAGGCCATACAGGAAACACATTAAAACTGATGCAAGCAGCAGGGAAGGGGGTAGAGGAGGGAGGAATTGGGGTATTGGCAGGGAAGGGGTTCAAATTAAACCCAAGAAAATATGAGAGGCCTTTCATGGACCCCTGAAGGCACAGTTCCATGACTGAAGAGAAAGGTTAACTCTACCCTCTGCCACCTTAGGTTTGAAAAAACAACTAACAATCTCAGGGCGGAGCGGGGGTAATTCCAATACTGCAGAAGAAAACTGTGCTAAAATCCAACACCCACTCATAATTTAAATAAAGCATCTAAGCAAACTAGGCCTAGGGTAGAACCCTCTGAGTTTGGTCCTATCAGATGTATTTGCAAACAAAACAGCCAGCGGAGAGGCAATAAAGCACCCCTCGAACATCAGGAATGAGAATGGGATTCCCTTTGCGTTTACAGTCAGCCCAGCTAACACTCAGATGCATGAAAAAGAAGCAGAGGCAGGCTGTGTGCAATGAAAGAAACAAAGCTGGTTTTACTTATTAAAAAGATGCACCAAGAAAATACTAGAATAGAAAAATTGGAGATCAAAGTAACAAAATCAGTACCATTTCAGACCAGTCAAATTTGTCAAATGTAGCAATAATGTAACAAAAGATTTG